GATGATGACATTACTGTAACTAGTCATGGTGCTCACTTATGTAAATCAGGTTTTATATCACGTACTACTTGTGGTTAATGTAAAGTTTGTATTACCCGACGAGCCTTTATTAAAATCCTTCCTATTTGTCAAACCATGTGTAGTTAAATGATGAATACTTTTTGAAGATTTGTTTCATAATAATTAATAAAGTACCTATTTGTGGATTGATACTATTGATATGACTATGGTACCTGATGGAATATATAAATATATTTTTATATAAGGGATTATATAAATAGATTTTTTATATATATACACAAAGCCATCATGTTCAAAAAACTGCTGAAGTAGCAGCAATATGTTGTTTAGCTTTTGCTTAACATATGGTCCTCCGGCGGTACTTCATTCAGATAATGGAGGTAAATTATTGAAAAAGTTATTAAGAAAACACTAAAGCTCTGGTCATGTATTTAGTTTATGATCAGCCCAAGAATTCACGTTGTCAGTGCCTTGTCGAAAAGGAAATAATATACTCCAAACAAAACTAGTTGCCTGGATGGAATGGATCGAAGCGATTGGAGTATTGGATTAAAGCTTGCAGTTTGTATGTTTATTATTATTATTATTTTATGAATTTTTATAAAAAAAAATATTTTTTCTACTCGAAAAAGAACCCATTTCATAAAAATCAATCAGGCGAATTGTTGCCATTGTCAAAAAACAAACCGCGGTATCAAAGTTTGTTCTTGTCAAAGAAGCAATTTATTATGGTGGATGTAAAAATCGATAAACATTTAATATGAATGTAAAAATCGATAAACACTTTTAACATGAATGTAAAAATTTAAATTTATTTTGTAATTAAAAAATCATACTATTATGCATAAATTTTATTATTGGTAAATTTTTACTAATTGAAATGATCTACTTTGATTATAATTAATGTAAATTGAGAAACGAAGCAGAACATAAATTATAATTAGAGATGATACAGAACATAAATTATAATTAGAGATGATACAGAACATACAAGTACAATACAATACAATACAATACATTCATTTCCAACTCACTTTAAACAACTCAAGTGCCTAGTTTTAGTTAACCATTTATCGTGACAAGTTTTACTTTAAATTTATCACGAATTATTTCGATTGGTAAACTTGTACTAACACGTTCATCATTACCTCCAGTGTGTATACCATTAAGACTTACAGATTTCAAATCTTTATAAGTAAACATAGTCGCTCCACTATCACCTTTAGTACTAGAAGCACTTGAGATGATCAAATCTGTTTCATAGCTGTCTCCAAACCCGTTAAATCCTCTTACATAACCACAAGTAGTACGTGATATAAAACCTGATTTACATAAGTGAGCACCATGACTAGTTACAGTAATGTCATCATC